AATTTAATAATATAAAAGTATTTTGAGTACTGGTATTTGTTTGCTCTTTAAGGGATTATTCTTGATGCCATTTGTTTGGAAGTAAGATCCATTTCTATATAGATTTATAGATTGTGCACATTAGTCTTCCAACTGGCACATCCATCCTAACTGCGTCACGACTTCTATTCCACATTGAAGCTACAAATTGATCTGTACAATGAATGCCAAAAACCTGGCTTCTTTGGATTTGGGGGAAAAAAAACAGTTCTGAAAATAGGTTTTATTCATATTATCAGATCTTTCTCAGATTTAACTACTTTCTTTTTAGTAAAGACAAAGAAATGAATTTAAATCAAGAACAACTTGAGTTATGTGGATTTAAATTTTGTCTCATGTTAATGTTAATTTTCTTTGGTTTACAGGGCAGTAGCTCGACTGTCTTCTTCAGCCAAAGTCCAGAGGCTGCTCGTGTGATACGCAGGACATTCAATTTCAACGCCGAACCGCCGTGGGATCCAAGCTAGTATTTATCAAAAGCAGGCGTTTCCTTGGGCCAGGTATTTGCAAACCTTGTATCAAGTCCTAATAAGTAGTTTGTATCTAATTATAATAAATTAGACCTTAGATTAAATGGTGAGTTTCTAGTTACTGTAAAAGTTTTTCCTTTGCAGATTGCTGGTACAACCCCAACTTGTTATTTTTGTCTAGAGGTTTATTTATTTTCAATCCATCAATATGAAGCACAAGTTTTCACCTATCTCTTCTGTTGAAATCATTGCTGACCCCATGCCCTGCATGACTCAGCTTATTCAAGATAAGATTGTAGCACTGGAAGCGAGGGTATGTACATTTTGTGATTCTCTTTACACTGACCCATGTTTCAAGTAGATTGAAGAGCTGCCAACTGTTATATAACCTGTTATATTTTAGGACATTTTTTGTTCTCAGGGCTCTGAAGATGCATTTTGTGTGTGTGATGTTGGAGATGTAGTTAAGAAGTACAGAGCATGGAAAGAACTACTTCCAAGAGTGGAACCATTTTATGGTAGGTAGTCAAAATTGATGAGTAACTTACACAGCAAGTCAAGATCTCGCCACTTGTGACATTTTTTTTTTTAAGGGCTCAACAAATTTTGTCACTGGTACGTTTTATTTTAAACCCTGATTTTCAAGTTTGTAAAAACTTGACAGTTAGGAAGTTTTTAAAATGCATTTTTTTTTTTCTTTTAAATCTTAATAAAATTTGTTGAGTCCTTCATACATTTTTAAACTTACCATTCTTTTTATACATGGCCAGTTGTAGAGCAGACCAGTTGGCCACAGATAAGGTTTAACCTCCCCTAACTTGAAGTTTGCCCGCTGCTTTGGATCTAATTGCCTTGCTCTTACAAAGTGTCCAGATAAATCAGCCATAACGGGACCAGATTCACACCAGGTTTATCATCTACCTCCTCTCTCATTGCTTTTTCAAAACATTTCATTTGGTATGTTCATTGTGATCTCTTGTATGTTTTAAATGTTTTTTTTTCTCATTTCACTTAGTTGTTTATAAAAGATTAACCATCAGTTAAACAAAAAATAAGCACAATAAAATTTATAAAACAAAAGTCTTGTTTTTTTTTTCTTAATTAATGCAATTTTTCTCCCAATTAGCATGACATCTATGTTCATCAAATTGTGGATTAGTTTATACCTCATGGCAAGAACTAGATCAAAGGGAACTTTTTTTTTTAAACTAGATAGTCATCATTATGCGCTCATTGTCATTCATCTTCATGCAAGTCTTATTTCTCTTTTACTTAGCTCTTCTTATTTCTTTATTCCAGCATGCAAGTGTAATACTGACGAAGTGGTTGTCAAGACGCTTGCTGATCTTGGCGCAGGATTTGATTGTGCCAGCAAGGTAATTTGATTCCCATAATTTTCATTGTTGCCACAGGAAAAGTCTTGGAAGTTAACAAACTTTTAAAGAAACTCTGAAAATTTGTTTTAATCACAGTAAAGGCTAAATCTAGATCTACTAGTGGGCATTCGTTTGAATCGAAATTCAACTGTAATTTTTTCATAGTATATGCCAATGTAGTTTTTCCACCTGAGTGCCCTGCCACAAACTGGTTGTCCATAAAAGATCTTGAACCATTTCATTCACTTGGTGGTTGACAATTAGCAATATCTGATACAATGTAAAGACTGTAGAATTTTAAATTACTTAAGCAAGTAATAGTTAGAATGTTGAATTTGAGCTTTTAAAGTTAGTGACAAAGGTCTTTTCTATATAATAAACATACAAAGTAGTCTGGAATTTTAGACCCTAACCTTTAATCTTTAATTGAAATAATTTCTTCTTTCTTAAAGGTTACCTATTCAATGATATGGTACAACCAAACAAAACTTAATTCATGTAGACTGAAAATTTGTTTTGTTTGTAGGGAGAAATATCTCTGATCCTGAAGCAGGGAGTACCACCAGAGCGCATTATTTATGCCAATCCATGCAAGCAGAAATCTTTCATAAAATATGCAGCTAAACACAATGTGGACATGATGACATTTGACAATGAAATGGAACTTGTCAAGATTAAAGAGGTTTATCCCAATGCCAAGTAAGTTGACACTAAGCACAATTTTTAGTATGTCTGGTATTACTATTTTTGAGCATTTGTTTTGTATTTCTATTTGGAGCCAGCTTAAGATCTATTGTAATATTCTATACTGTATTTTCTAATAGGCATGTCTATAATTACACAATTAAATTGTTCCATGAACTATTATATATAGTTGCCATTTTAAAATTAACTGTTGTAAAATAGATCTATGTATTCAACCATCCATTAAGGGTATATACGTTTTTTAAAATGGTTCTTCATTGTGTATCTTGGAATGCATTTGTATTCAAATAACAAATAGCCCCATTATGAACTCATTGCTGATAGTCTTATTTTTAAAAATTAAGCACAAAAAAATGTAAAAAAAAAAATTATCAAATTTTAAAAAAAAAAAAAGAATTATGCTTCTGACTACAGTTAAAAGTAAAACAAACAATTGAAAAATTTTTTTTTTTAACCCATGCTTATATGGTTCTTTAATAGGCTTGTGTTGCGCATTCTGCCAACTTCTCAAGTAAAAGTGCAATGCCAGTTGGGAAACAAATTTGGTTGTCACCCAACTAATGTCTCAAAACTGGTTACCAAAGCCAAAGAGCTTGAACTTGATGTCATGGGCATTAGGTGAGTGATCTTTGTTAGTCTCAACACTTGAAATAATTTGTTGTTGCCATAGCTATATAAACCTGAAACTAATTTTTACCATTTAATTTTCAGCTTTCATTGTGGCAGTGGTGTTCAAGAAGCCAGAGCTTTTTCTTTAGCAGTCAAGCAAGCTTATGATGCCTGGCAAATTTGTGTCCAGATGGGATTTAACATGACCTTGCTGGATATTGGTGGTGGATTCCCAGGCCAAAAGTCTGCTCCAATCTCATTCCCAGAGGTCATTATTAAGTTTAAATTCATAACTAAGTACATAGTCTTCCTACTACTACTACTTGGTAGCTCAGTATTGATTGGCTATTTGACATTTTTTTAAAAAACTGTTTTTAGATTGCTACCATTTTGAATGATGCATTGGACACTTACTTCCCACCTGAGAAGGGAGTCCGTATCATCAGTGAGCCTGGAAGATACTTTGTTGCATCTGCTTATACACTAGCTGCCAACATTATTGCTAAGAGAACTGTGTCCAGAGACAGCTCAGATGCTGGTAGGTCTAGTTTGCTTACAATGCTAGCTAGTTATTGTCTCCATATAAAAACGTAGTTTAGTCTAACATAGTGACCTCTTAATTCTTAAGCAGTTATCAGGAAATGTCTACCCTGTCCCCATGGGAAGGAATATAACTTACGATCATCAATTTTTTATAATTTTTTTTATTAAATGGGGAAAAAAAATAATTTTGTAATAACCCTAACAGAAAAAAGTCCTAAGGATAAGCATCATTTCAAATTATGAAGTGTTATAGAGCTCAATAAACATTTCAATATCACATCAGATTTAAGTTACATATCACTCCACTTTGGCTAGACCTAATCAATATTCAATCAATCAATATTTTGTCTTCACTATCATTGCAATAGGTCTCAATTGGCGATTTATTGCTTACCACAATTGTATTTTGCCATTTTACATCTGACATTGGAATCATATTTAGTTACAGTCTTGACATTATATTATTAGCTAAAGGGAAAAAATTCATACATACCAATTCCAACATGTTGCAGATATCAAACACCTAAACAAAATAGCTTTGCTGTTGCTCACACTAAGGTCAGAAATAGACCAAGTCAGCAACAGCCCAAAATTATCGATTGCTTGTGATTCCTGGCCATTCTAGTTGTCTACTAGTAGCTGCAACTAGTTGTGAAATGTCTCAAAGTTAGCATTTTCAACTGGACATTTATGAACTCATGTTGTTGTTTTTTTTTAATATATCTCAAGCACTTAACCAGGAGATGTATTTTGTGAAATAAACAAGTTTTAAAATATTTTCATGTATTTTTACTAGTTTCACCAATTGAACTTTTCTCAGATGGTTGCTCTGAAGTGACCAAGAATGACGAGCCCTCGCACATGTACTATGTCAACGATGGTGTCTATGGTTCCTTCAACTGTATCTTGTACGACCATGCTCATGCTGAAGCACATGTTTTCTCTGTGAGTATATTGTAGTAGATATTTCAGTTCTGAAAAGTAGCCAATATCAACATAATAGATGCAATTCAATTGTGAAAAGCAGCCAATATCCTGATTGAAGTAGTTCTATTGACCTTTTTTTTTTTCACAGGACTCCCCACTCAGATTTACTTCATCTGTATGGGGCCCAACATGTGATGGACTTGATTGCATCATAAAGGAATGTCGTCTGCCTGAGATGGAGGTTGGTCAGTGGATGTATTTTCCTGATATGGGTGCCTACACCATTGCTGCTGGATCCACTTTCAATGGAATGCCCAGACCATCCATCAATTACATATGTAGTCAAGATATCTGGTAAGCACTAAGAACAGTTAAGACCACATATGTTTTCTACTTGTAAAATTAAAATTTATCTTAAGAAAACTGTCTGACTAGATATAACAATTTCAATTGAGAACAATGTCCTTTTACTCCTTAAATATTCCTTCTTGGTCAGGCAGAGTTGCTCTTTGAGATAACCCACAGGACACCTGCAGTTATTTTCTTTTTTCTTGTTCATCCCAGAAGTATTTGTTCATGAGACTAGCATTATATACAAGCATGTCTACTAAACAGAAAGCTACTGTTGAAGACAGTGGCTAAAAAAAAAAATTCCATTTCTTATACTTTGTCATGACATATTGGACTATGCAGACTCAGTTACTACTGCCAATGTCACTTGACATTTACCTAGGCTACACTACTGGTGTTATTAGCCTGGCTGCTGTATTTTATCCTTTTAGGAATAGCCTGAAAGACAGTTAAATGTTTTACATAGCAAAGCATTATCTGAATTTGGTATTAGCACAGAGCTAGCTGAGATTAGCATAGATACAAAACTAGTATGTCATGGGTAAAATTAAAATATCTATAGTCAGTTTTCTCACTCAGTAATTTATTTTTAAGGGATGAAATCTACCCTGAACATTGCTCAGCCAAGAGACGATGTGAAAGTGTCTCTTCTGAAATGGACTATCCAAGCATGATGGCTGCTGGACCTGATGTCATGTCACTCCGTCATGCAGCCAACTCCATCTCTTGCATTGAGGATGAATTAGTCTTGGCCTAGACATGTCAGCATTGAAACCTTCAGCTCTCTATTATTTTTTTTTGCATGTTTTTTTTGTTTACATGTTTTCATTGTTCTTTAAATCTTCTGTTACTATGCTACATAGCATCACAATTGTCAAGGACCTAAAATCTGTGCTGTTTAGGCACATTCATTTTGTGCTGGGGACCAATCCTTGTTAGCACACACAAATCATTTGGTTATTGTATTTAGTCTACATAGTAACTAGATTTTTTGTTAACTTTTAAAAACATTTTATATTTCATTATTATAGTTTAACTAGATTTTTTTTTGTTTCTAAAGATGTGTAATTGTTTGTGATGTCTTTTTTCTTGATGTTTAGTGACAGGTTTAGTTGATCACTCTTTTAGTTTTCTTGGGAGGGGCATTTTCAAATGGTTGGTTTTTTTTTTTTTTTTTTTATTAGTTGAACAAGTTGGGGATGTACTTGCAGTGGGGAACGCCTGCAAATCCTTCTGTTGGCCGTCTATGTATTTGTACAAACTGCATGTCATTGTCTGTCTGTTTTGTCAATAAAATTATTTTAATAATTACTTGGCTTTTTTAAAAGTGATTTTATTATGGCAACTGTCCTCAACTCAATGTACGGATTAGTGTTAATCCTCACAGCAGTGATGACATAAAAAAATTTTCAAGTTCATTCACATTTCATTACACCAAATAATTTTGTACAGAAATAAATTCTCAATTACAATTACACAACTAGGAACATGGGTAGATAATTCCTTAAATAATTACTGGCTTTTTATAATTGATTTTATTTTGGCAACTGTCCTCAATACATTGATTACATTACACCAAATTTTTAAAGTTAATGCATTTACAATTAGAGAAATTCCAATTAGACAACTTGTAGAAACACGGGTGTTTCTTTTTAATGCAGCCATAGCACTGATCCCATAAAACAGGCTGTATCTCTAATGCTACGCACGCTGTGACGGCAGCATCTTAACTTTCAGTGTAAGAAAATAAAATCAGTTTGAGATTCGTCCTCGGGCCTTGCTACGGTTTAGGCAGCCGAACTCAAAGTATCCTTAAAAGTGCATTTGATTAAATGATCATGTAGTATTCTGGTTGATGCGTGATTTTTTAGGGCCTATTTTAAATAATAGTTGGGTTTTTCCCTCACGAAGACCGCTAAAATTGTACTGTAGAGATCTATTAGTTTTATTGGAGATCTAGAATCGAAGATAACAGCCCTTAATAATCAAGATAATCGCCTACTAGTGTATGGTTTAAAGGAAAAATTACTCTACATAATACATCCCATTGAGTTATGAGCGAACCTCAATGTATGTATAGTATAGTACTGGTCACTGCGTATGCAAGAAATCACTAGTGTTGCTAATGTAACAATACGCAAAAGTTCAACCAGTATTACTTCCATGAATTACAAATATTTCGGGGTTAATAGCGTTGACCTTTGATTGTCCGGGGTTTTGTCTGATTATAAAAACCCTCAGCTATCAATGAAATATACCGTATGTCAAGACAAAAGAATACTTTTAATGTACCGGTAGTTCTCCTTTTAGACCTTGTGGTCTATAGGGCAGATGATGTAGGGGTCATCTGTTTCTCTGGCCCACTGTTAACGAATGTCCAGCACAACGACCAACCGCCTTTACTTTTCCCCAACTCATGTCAGGTTTCCAAAAGAGCTGGGTGAACCACACAGGCGCGAAAAGATTCCGAAATAAAACATTCCAGTCTTCAAGGACATTCGAGCCCGGATTCTTCGGTTTGGAAGTCAAGCATGCCACCGCGCCTCCCAATATGTTTGATGTACAAGAAGATATTCTCTGAGACTTTGAATGGTATAATATAAATATTAGACAAATGAGAACGCGTTGATCTACAAAATAGGAAACAACTGCATCCACTTGTGGATATTTGCTCGACTTAAGGATTGTTCTTTTTTTTTTTTTTTTTGAATGTTTAATGGTGGCTCTATAATTTAAAGAAACGACAGTAAAGTTTTGACATCTCAAAAATTCTAATTTTTCAGGTAAAGATATTTTAGGCTTAAAGTTGCTCGCTCTCGTACAAAACGTAAACAAAGCTTCAACACTAATAAATGCGACAAGTCAACTGTCTAACAGTAATAGTATCTAGACAATCAAGAACATCGAACGTTTTAAAAAAGCAGGACCTATATACCAGAAGAATCGAAACTTGCGTTTCAAAAGACACCTGCGCGGCTGAAGTTTAAATTGGTGTCGCGTAGCATTATTCGGTGTACTGGGGATTACAAAGCATCGAACTATACTGCGTGAAGACTGCTCATAGACATTAACACGCTTCATTCAAAACACACAGTGCCGGTTTTAAATCTTTACATGCCCTGAAATAGGGTTCATACACAGACATTCGATCACTGAAGCATGCCTAACACAAAGAACATGGATTATTTTGAAGGACAGGCAAGCATATGACTATCCATGCATGCGAGAACAGAGTCTCAATATTTCACAATAAAATAACAATACTTTACATACATTACAGGGAACTTTTAAAAAAATGGAATAGGGAACCTAAAAAAGGGGATAAGGAACTTAAAAAAGGAAAAAAATGTACCAAAAAAAAAGCAACAACTAGAAAATGGGAGAATAACTTAAGAAATGTAAACCAAGTGTAAATATAAGTGTATGCTTGATTCCAAAATCTAATAAAATACTCAGAAAGACACAAAGATAAAGGCACATTCCTCATCCCATATGCTAGGACAAATTTGTACAAATACTCCTTCTTCCCTAGTGTTATTAGAGCATGGAATGGGTTGCCTGAGCTAGCCAGGAAAACCAGTGACTTGGCAGAATTTAAGTCATTGGTTAATATGCATGACTAAATGCATGACGCGTAGGACGTAATCATCATCTTTTTTTTTTTTTTGAAGTAATGTCTGTATTATATAAGATAAGATAAGAAATAGTTTATTGAACTCATGGATGGAAATGCAGCGAAAATCGTAAGAGCCATTTTTCAGATCAGCATCCTTGTAGGTTATTGAAAGTCCCATGAAGTTTTGACTTGAAGTAGGCCCTATTTTTAAAAATAAATAAATAAATAAAACTTTAGCACTCTGCAATGTTGCTGGTCAAGGTGAACCGAATGTTCTTTCATGGCATGGCGGCCTTGTTTTGTCTTATAAACGTTTCTACAAGGATTCACAGATAAAAGTCATGAAAATAACACACCCACCATACATAGTGAATTTTATTTAGCTAGAAACTTGATGACAGTGGTTTGTGCTTTTTAAAAGAACAAAATAACAAATACTTATAATCACCATGCGTCAACATCGACTTTTTACTCGAGGTAGGAATGCATATTAAAACAACTTTCGTCAAAATTTGTGAGTCGGCCTAAAACGAACCCTTTTTTTTTTTTTTTGCATAGGTAATATTTGCATTCACTAAGCGTGTAAAGATCACTATTCATCTTAGTAAATAAAAACGTCGCAGATAAATTGAAGTTTCATAGAGGAGGGAGAACTGGTCAAAACTAATATGCGAGAAACATTCAAGCACATATAGCGCTCGTATGTATAGACTGCGCGGGATCGTTTTTGGAACACCTTTGTATTGTTATAACTCTGTCCCTGCGCTGATATACATGGTGCGTACTAACGCACTGTTCCACACGAGCGTTGAAAATAGAAGACAGGAAATAGAGACATGATGGTGAATGCCGGCTTATTTTGAAAAGAAAAACTAGATCTAAGAAAATTTGACATCCTGTTGATTTGTGTGTGATTTGTTTTATTGAATTAAATCACTATCACTGTTATTCTTCCTCTGTTGAGTGCTTGCCTTGAATTTACAATTTATTATGTGAGACTCATGATCTTTTTTTTTTTTGTTGTTGTCACACAAAAATCACTGTAACGTGTCGTGTGGTGAGTTTCGACCATTCTGACATAAGAACAATTTTATTTATAAAGCGCTGTTAACAAACAAAATGTTGGTCCCAGGGGCTGTGTTTTTATTACCAACATAAACACGAGAGCTAAAAAGACAAACTAATCTAAAAAAACACGAAGCTTTGATACCTGGCGATAGTTTTTTTTTTTTAAAGACATTCCGGACCAAGACGGGATTTCTTTAATAAGGGCATGACAAGTGCATGCTTAAATTCCTTTGGTACAATGCCAGTAATTGTGGGTACAAGCTCATCTAAACATTCAAGGAGCAAGGAAGTTGGAATGGGATCAAGGTCACATGACTTATTTGGCTATTTAAAATAAGACTCTTTGACACACTGAAACTCGCAAAAGGAGAAGATTGGAGAGTGGTCGAGCTTTGATGAGAGGAATAGCATGTCTATTTGAAATTACATTATTCAATTAAAAATAAATTTAGGCTTAATTGGTTTGAGATTTACATGTCCATATAACGAAAATACCAATAAAAGCACAAGTATGCATTGCCTGCTGGCCGAATTGGTAACATCATTCGTTCAAGCATCTAATGGTACTGAAAAAACTGAACATTTTTTTATTTAATTAAGAAAAAATGTATTGTATTGTAAGTTTAACAATGGGGTATTGTCCTTATATATATATATAATTTTTCCTTTTAAATACGAAACACCTTTAGATGCAATAAAAAATTGCATAGTTGATTTTTCTTTTTTTTCCCACTATCTGGTACAGGTACTCAATACACTGTTCTGCAACTACATTTAGTTTAATATAATTTAATTTGAAATTGATAAACTTCTTTGGGTGCAGAAAATTTCTTAAAATTTGTTCTCTTCCCATCAATATAGTCTATAAAACAGTGATAAACCCCCAAGAAACTTCATCCCACAAAGGAGTGTAGGTGATACAGATGGTTTTAT